CGGGTGGTTACAGGGACACGGGTGATACAGTAACACGGGTGGTTACAGGGACACGGGTGGTTACAGGGACACGGGTGATACAGTAACACGGGTGGTTACAGGGACACGGGTGGTTACAGGGACACGGGTGATACAGTAACACGGGTGGTTACAGGGACACGGGTGATACAGTAACACGGGTGGTTACAGTAACACGGGTGGTTACAGGGACACGGGTGATACAGTAACACGGGTGGTTACAGGGACACGGGTGATACGGGGACACGGGTGGAACCATAGAGCTAGTTTTGGTTTGGTGTTCGACTAAAGGCCACTGAAGAATTTGTACGCCAGTCGACTTATTGGGGAAGGAGGGGCGGCAGAGTTGAAGTTCAGTCTGTGCTCCCCAGCTCTCTGTCTCCCTGGCACGTCCGTCTCAACCATACAAGCTGCTGCACATTGCTCAAATTACTTGATTCACCTTCGTATGCATACAAACTTTCTGTTCCCACCCTCGTGCGTTTGACAACACATACGCTTGAGTTTGTTCTAGTCTGTGACACCCAGTGGGACACTCCCATGGTACAGACCGTGGGACACTCCCATGGTACAGACCGTGGGACACTCCCATGGTACAGACCGTGGGACACTCCCATGGTACAGGCCGTGGTACACTCCCATGGCACAGACCGTGGGACACTCCCATGGTACAGACCGTGGGACACTCCCATGGTACAGACCGTGGGACACTCCCATGGTACAGACCGTGGGACACTCCCATGCTATAGGCCGTGGGACACCCCTGGCTTTCTACAATGACGCGGGCGACCTTCCAGAGAGTGTCCGCTGAGACCTCCAAGGTCTCTACAGCCTCGTGCCGCCCCATTCCCCCCCCCCTCCCCCCCACCCCATTACTGCTTCCTTCAGCACCAACGCCTATTTCCGGATTCTATTCCCTTTCTATTTTGGCGTCTATTGACTGTTTACTGCTGTCTGTCTATAGGCCCGTTGTCCATGGCTTATCGTGTGTTGTGATCGGGTTTGGGACGTGTCTATGTAACCCTGTTTTAGATATGCGGTTTGGGGGTTTTATTTATGTAATTTTCTCTTCTATTGGCCGTCTGTTTATAATCTATCGTCCGTCCACTGGTATCTAGCTACCTGTCCCCCCCACCCCCCGAGTCTGTCCAAACCATAAATAAAGTCTAATTAAGTCTGGCTCCTTTTTGGCCCCCCCCCCGGAAGTCTGGCTGGCAGCATATATTTTGGGCGCTGGGTTTGTTTGTTTGTCTATATGCAGGTTGCTTTGTAGAGGTGTGTGTGTGTATTTACTATTTGTATTTACTTAGCTATCTTGAACCCCACCTTTCTAACCAATCTATTTTTCCTCTATTATATCTACTATACATATTTCTCTTAACACACCCGCATATACACACATCTCCAGGAAGCAGCCCGTAGCAGCTGTCTAACTCCCAGGTACATATTTATTGCTGCGTGAACAGCGGCACCAGGGTGAAAGAAAATCTGCCCATTTGTTTCCGCCTCAGTCTGGAATCGAATCCGAGCCCTTAGGACTACGACCCCCAAGCGCTGTCCACTCAGCTGCGAGGCTGTGTGTACTCACCTAATTGTGCTTGCGGGGGTTGAGCTTTGGCTCTTTCGTCCCGCCTCTCAACTGTCAATCAACTGGTGTACAGATTCCTGAGCCTACTGGGCTCTATCATATCTACGTGTGTGTGTGTGTGTGTGTGTGTGTGTGTGTGTGTGTGTGTGTGTGTGTGTGTGTGTGTGTGTGTGTGTGTGTGTGTGCGTGTGTTTTAGATGTCTTATTCATATCCCACCGTATTACCTCGAGGGGGGTAGTATGGACCCCCACGAGGAGGACTTATGGACAATCATAAATAATTAGAGAAAGTGTGGAAAGTGTTCACAACACCGTACATAACACAGGATACACCATTACATAACAAATGTGAACACATACACAGGAAGAATGGGAAAGAGCTGACGTAACACCATTCAAGGAAGGGCATGTCAACACCGCACACAGGAAACGGAACAGATACAGGGGGTGGGAGAGGGCGGGGAGGACGCGTTGGTTGCCATAAATACACTAGGCTGCAGACCAAAAAGTACCCCCCAAACACACAACCTCGCCACGTCCCTGACATGATGAGACGTGAAAAACGTCCCTGAAAAGCGTCCCACGTCGCTACAACGACGTGGGACGCCAGGAATCTGATGCCAGGAACCTGTATCTGATGCCAGGAACCTGTATCTGATGCCAGGAACCTGTATCTGATGCCAGGAACCTGTATCTGATGCCAGGAACCTGTATCTGATGCCAGGAACCTGTATCTGATGCCAGGAACCTGTATCTGATGCCAGGAACCTGTATCTGATGCCAGGAACTTGGTGGATACAGACAATGATATTATGGCAGTAACGCGATACATCTATGACCAAATTTTGTGGATATGAGTACTGGAACAATTGATATATATATTTTGGACTTGTACCCTAGGTTGACCATGTAATGTATCAATTATACAATGTATGTATGTGATGTAACTATATAACCTGAGCTTGTAAAAGCATCTTAATCACCTTCAGTGGTTAAGTTCTTAATTGCACACTAGTTTCTCTATCAGCTATCTCATCCTGTCAGAGTAAAAGAGACAAATGTATGCGTATGTATATATGTATGTGTGTATGTATATGTATGTAAATGTGTGTGTATGTATGTGTATAAAGTATATGTGGAAGTTGATCAGAATTACATTTCACCTTTGTAAATGCACATGCCAAAAATGGACGTAATTTGAAATGAAATCGGCTCACGAAAGTGATGTACTGTCCCGTTTTCTGTTTGGGTCCTCCAGCTTAGTCTGTTAGGTTAGGAGAGAGTCCGTACCGTTCACAACGTCACCAAACCGATGAACTAAATTGCCGTAACCTAACCGAGGACCCATGAATAGAAAACAGCATATCACGTCAATTTTGAGAGCCGCTGTGAATTTTAGTAAGAGTTTTGGCCTTGGGGGATTTATAAGTCAAAAGCGATTCACTGTTTGAGAGGAAGGGTAGTCTATACAACCATTTTTCTCGGATAATACACATCATTTTGAGGTCAAAGTCCCTCAACGGGCAAAAATAGGATGTAGCATAAATCATTGCAGCTCACACCATTCACGTTTTTTTATGGGTGGGATGCTCGGTTAAGTTAGGTTCAGATAATTTAGTACACTATATTTTGTGAAGTGACAACTCGAGAGGCCGGGCTGTTTGGAGAGACGTAATAAGTGCCACAAGTCTTGGGATCAAAGTTGTTCTTGATAAGTGGAGTGCCTCAGTGGTCAATCTTGGGTCCACTTTTGTTCTTGATAAGTGGAGTGCCTCAGTGGTCAGTCTTGGGTCCACTTTTGTTCTTGATAAGTGGAGTGCCTCAGTGGTCAGTCTTGGGTCCACTTTTGTTCTTGATAAGTGGAGTGCCTCAGTGGTCAGTCTCGGGTCCACTTTTGTTCTTGATAAGTGGAGTGCCTCAGTGGTCAGTCTTGGGTCCACTTTTGTTCTTGATAAGTGGAGTGCCTCAGTGGTCAGTCTTGGGTCCACTTTTGTTCTTGATAAGTGGAGTACCTCAGTGGTCAATCTTGGGTCCACTTTTGTTCTTGATTTGCATAAATGACATGGTTAATGAGTCATGGTGTACAATATCAGCCATTACAGATGACACTTAAGCCAGGGAGTAAAGTGACATTAGTGCGACAGAGATTGTAAGCCGACGAACACACTTTAGCAAATTGGTTTGATGAAATGCAGATGAATTTTAATGGTGATAAATGCAAAATCAGATATTTCGAAAGCAAAACTGAAAAGGTAAGCTACTGAATGAATACCACAGACCTAGTGAAAGTAAATGACTAGTGGCTAATGATCTTAAGACAAGTTAACCTCACGATATTGTACAAGAAGTCATATTTACCTGAATGTTAAGAATGTTAGGTGTTATACCTTTCGTGATTCATTGGGAAAACTCTCACTGTATAGTTTGTCATATTATGGAATATTTCGTACTGTTTGGGTCACTATTATTGAACAATTTCAAACCATTGAGTGCCTATCAACAAATATGGTACCAAGTCCAAAAGATCACACGAAACCCGTTAAAAAAAAGAAAAAAGAGATAAACTTATCCAGTTCTAAAAGGAGATGACAATGAGGTGACTTACCAGCAAAACAAGTATTTAGAATGTTCAAAGTCCATGCCATTCTTCACTCAGAAAAAGCGTACAAACTGAACATTCTAACATTAATAAACAATCATGGCTTAACAACTGTAGATAAAATGATTTAACTCAAATAAGCTTTCTTGTATCTAGTAGTAAGCACGTGGAACAGTTTATCAAAGAGATCTAATTGTGTATGCATTTGAAAATAGATTGCACAAGTGTGTCTATATTATCCTGGAGCCTATTTGTTCCACAACAGGATTTCCACAAACAAGAAGCCTGGTGGGCACAAAGTCTTTATCAGACTCTTTGAATCCCTCTGTAATCCTTTCAAAAAGATACCTTTCAATGGGGCGGGGGGCGTAGAAGAATTACAGGATTGTATTAGTATATACAATCTGTATATATATATATTGTACTGCTGTATTAGGCTTTCCCAAACACCAACGTCGGTCGACTCATTGTCTGCAGCTATAGCTTATCTCTCGGTAATACGCCCAAAATAAAACTATTATCTGCTTATCTGATCTTCATTGCTAAACTACTTGAAATCTTTAAGTAAAAAATTATGTAATTGAAACAAAAAAACACATGGCATTTTGGGGAGAGTTAACAGTCTTGTAAACTTACTGGACCACGTGAGGTAAAGTAAGTTTACAAGTATAGAACAGGAAGAGGAGAATGAGAGGACTAAATGGGGGAAATGAGAGGAATAAATGAGGGGATACGAGGTGCAGGAATGAATTGAGGGGGGAGTGAGGGGATATGATGATGATGAATAAGGCGTACCTTGTGGAGAGAGAGAGAGAGTGAGTGCTGCCGTGAGATGTAAGATGCAGAACAGGTGACCACAGGTGAGGAACGAGAGCACAGGTAAGGAGGCAACCTCTCTCCACCCCGTCAGGTAAAACACTGAACCCGCCGCCTCCTCCCCTCTTGCCTACCTGCCTCTCTCTCTCTCTCTCCCCCACCACCACCACTACAGCCCTCCCCTACCACTGGCCCCTCCCTCCACCCCACAACATTATACAACAACACAGCTACATTATATCAAACACACATAGTCACAACCACAACTACAAGCAGTACAAACACTTCCACCACCACCACATCATCATCCTCTACAACCACCACCACCACAAATACCACTATTTCCACCATTACCACCACAACCCAGACTACCACCATTACCAACCACGCCGTGCGGCCCTTCATCACCACCATCGGGAACTCCAGCTTCCTCCAGCACAAGTCTTTTTACCGAGGACCTGTGAGCCGCATCCAGGCTCCCCACTCGGGGCGTCGCAAGCGGGGATCTCTGGCCCGCAACACTCCCGCGGCTACATGTGGGTGGACCTTGCTTAGTTAGCCAATCACTCCGTTGCAAGAGGTTTGGGTACACCCCATCACCTGCAACTGCGGGAATCACTGGTAGCTTATCAACCAAAGATGTTAAAACTGACTAGCATGTTGGCTAGTGTTAGAGAGGACCAGTGTTAGAGAGGCCCAGTGTTAGGACCAGTGTTAGAGAGGCCCAGTGTTAGAGAGGACTAGTGTTAGAGAGGACCAGTGTTAGAGAGGACCAGTGTTAGAGAGGACCAGTGTTAGAGAGGACCAGTGTTAGAGAGGACCAGTGTTAGAGAGGACCAGTGTTAGGACCAGTGATAGAGAGGCCCAGTGTTAGAGAGGACCAGTGTTAGAGAGGACCAGTGTTAGAGAGGACCAGTGTTAGAGAGGACCAGTGTTAGAGAGGACTAGTGTTAGAGAGGACCAGTGTTAGAGAGGACCAGTGTTAGAGAGGACCAGTGTTAGAGAGCACCAGTGTTAGAGAGGACCAGTGTTAGAGAGGACTAGTGTTAGAGAGGACCAGTGTTAGAGAGGACCAGTGTTAGAGAGGACCAGTGTTAGAGAGCACCAGTGTTAGAGAGGACTAGTGTTAGAGAGGACTAGTGTTAGAGAGGACCAGTGTTAGAGAGGACCAGTGTTAGAGAGGACCAGTGTTAGGACCAGTGTTAGAGAGCACCAGTGTTAGAGAGGACTAGTGTTAGAGAGCACCAGTGTTAGAGAGGACTAGTGTTAGAGAGGACCAGTGTTAGAGCTGCATCTAATATTATTATATCTTCTGGTGTTATGAATAATTAGCCCAATCTGTCCTCAGGGAGGAAATCAGCTCAGGGTAATGGATTCAAAACCACTACATAATTAGTGGTATTACCTACACTCTTAACAGTGCACAGTTACAAACCCATTAAGATTTCAACTTAGATTCAACAGAGTTGAAGAAGTTGTTAAACACGTGGGACAAAATCTTACTGAAGCGACCATACGAGTCATAAATACTCATACTCCGCCCAAGTAAAACAGAAACAAGCAACACTTAGTGGGCCAGCCAGAGGCTTAGGGCCCGCGCAGTGGGGCCAGCCAGAGGCTTAGGGCCCGCCCAGTGGGCCAGCCAGAGGCTTAGGGCCCGCCCAGTGGGCCAGCCAGAAGCTTAGGGCCCGCCCAGTGGGCCAGCCAGAGGCTTAGGGCCCGCCCAGTGGGCCAGCCAGAGGCTTAGGGCCCGCCCAGTGGGCCAGCCAGAGGCTTAGGGCCCGCCCAGTGGGCCAGCCAGAGGCTTAGGGCCCGCCCAGTGGGCCAGCCAGAAGCTTAGGACCCACGCAGGAATATCCCTGCAAAAAAAATCTACACTATCTATGGTCAAGTTATTTAAGGTTACTTCAGGTTAAGGTTTGATTAGTTTAGGTTAGGCTACGTTTTATTATGTTTAGAAATGTTAATATAGTGTAATATTGTCCAAAATGTGTAATTATGGAATTTGAAAACAATTTAAGTGTACCCTTGAATTTCGTTTACAGAAAACCAAATTCTTCAGACTATTTTTAAAGAAAACGTGTTCAGCATATAATTTTTATATTTTAAACCAACGATGTAGAATACAATAAAGTAATAACCTGAGAATATTCAGTTTAAGACAAAGGTTTACTTGCCATTTTACAAGTACACCATTACTGGAACCATGATATGCTTTCAGAGCATCACAAATATATAGATAACTTTGCAGATGGTTTGACGGTGAGGGGGAAGGTTGTCTCTGATGGTAATGCTCTGAGAAGAGGCTGAATTAGCCCTAGGATAGGTTCGGTTAGGTGTATTGGTTCCCTTGGCAAGAGTTTCCTCTCACTAAAGTTCTAAACGTTATATAACGCACCTGATCACTTAACTCCCAATTTCCACAAACAGAAAACGTCACAGAAACGTGGCTGAAATTCTATAACTCGACCCACACATATCAATTTCCAAACCCCATGTTAGTAACCAGCTAGCGAGGTGTCGGCAGGTAATGTCTTGTATTGGAGGCACTCTCAATGGTTGCTATAGACTTCCATTAAGCACTAGAATCTATAAATAGGCATTATAGACTTTCCAATAGGCGCTAGAGACTCCCAGTAGACTCTAGGTTCTGCCAATAGGCAGTAGGTGCTACCAAATAGCCAACAGTGGACACAACCCACAGAGGTCAAAGGTGAGGTCTGTGGGGAGGGGTCAACACTGATAGTTTCAAGTGTAGGTTAGACATGCATATGAATGAGTTTGAGTGAATATTAACAGGAGTCGCTTCGGCTGAACCAATTAGAGGTGCCTCATATGGCCCAATAACCTTTCTGTAGTTCCCTTCCCTCTCTTGCCCTTTCTGTTAGACGTACTTTGTATTTACTACTGTAACTACTGTAACTAATCACCGGCACTCAACAGTGCAGGAACGGTGCCCAATAGCGCCGTACGCGGGATTCCAACCCAGGTCCACCTGCTCGTGGGGCGAGTGGGCTGCCCCGGGTACAAGAAATTGACCACTTATAAGCCACTTATTCAATTGCAGAGACACAATAGAAGATGGGAGGCGGCGGACATGTCCTTCACCGGGCTTAGTGCCCGGGGGCGGGCTCCCGCTCATTCATTGGGCCCTCAAGAACCTGTAAACTCCCTGTGGGCACTAGGGGCTGTCATTATACACTAGGGAGCCATCATTATATATTTGGGGCTATTATTATACACTTGGGACTTCCATTATTTACTACAGGCTATCGTTATACACTAGGAGCCATCATTATACATTTGGGGCTATCATTATATACTAGGGGCTTCCATTATACACTAGAGGCTGCTAAAAGGCATCATGAAATGCGAATAGATGTACAAAACTATCAATAGGCAAGAGGCAGTATCTATAGATAATGGAGTGGAGGGATAGTGGGATTACCACACACGTGGGTGGTTGGGGGTGGGAAGTGGGAAGGATGTGGGAGAGATGTGGGAGAGGGAACTACACGACAAGGACGAGCTTGTTATGTCATGGTACTCTGGTGACTCTCTCTGTTTTTCCTGGTGTTGCGGCCTCGAGTATGTGTTTCCCGTCACCCACACACACACACACACACACACACACACACACACACACACACACACACACACACACACACACACACACAGATATGACAGAGCCCAGTAGGCTCAGGAATCTGTACATCAGTTGATTGACGGTTGAGAGGCGGGACCAAAGAGCCAGAGCTCAACCCCCGCAAACACAACTAGGTGAGTACACACACACACACACACACACACACACACACACACACACACACAAACACAGATATGACACAGCCCAGTAGGCTCAGGAATCTGTACATCAGTTGATTGACGGTTGAGAGGCGGGACCAAAGAGCCAGAGCTCAACCCCCGCAAACACAACTAGGTGAGTACACACACACACACACACACACACACACACACACACACACACACACACACACACACATACACACACACACACAGCCAGTGTCCTTGACTTGTATACCATGCAAGGTGATGGAGAAGATCGTGAGACAAAACCTGGTAACACATCTGGAGAGAAGGGACTTCGTGACAAATCGACAACATGGGTTCAGGGAGGGTAAATCTTGCCTGACTGGCTGTTACAAATGATATGAGTGGGACTCTATGGGGTACTGGTACTATTAAGGGGTATAGGTAGTTAGAAGACAGGAGTATCAAATATGGGAGAGCTAAAAGGCCCGGCCCCCAAAATAAACTATCCACAGTAGTAATAACTTGCTACAAGACCAAATATGTTAGTCTAAGGGTTGATCACTGCGCTCCCACCTTGGAAGAAGAGATACTCTGTAATTCATGTACTTATTTATTAACCCCTTAACAACCCCCCATTTACACTCACACCAATAACAATAATAATAACTTTACCACACTATCTTACGTTAAAAGCCTTGGTCCACGTAGGCAGGATACAAGGTTTACACTAATAACAAGCTAGGGTAAAGTACTACTGGATAAGCACTGAAGCTGGATGCAGCTTAGGGTAGTGAAACCACGTGGGACCCTAATACAAAACACAACACTTAGGGGTACCCAAACACTGGCAAAATACTATCCCCAGGTCTCCCCAATCGTTACTACCAGAGTAGACACACTTACACCATATAATACTTAACTTAAGGGTACAGGAACTTCAGGTAAGGGAAATAAGTAAGAGGAGAAGGAAGGAGAGTAGGGATACAGCCACAGAGTAGGTCTTAACCTCACGCCACCAGCCAAGAGAAGAGCGAGCTCCTCGCGACCACCTGGCCTCCCTCATGTCGTGGTGCCGGAAGGAGCCTAATTGATCGTGCAGCTAAGCACATTAAAGATCTTCCCCTATGCAACGTATTGTTACTTTATGAATGATTAGAAAGTATTAGTAAGCAAAGTTGGTGCCTATGATATTATTTAATAATCAACCCCCAGCTCTGTCTTTAAATGCTCTTTGAGAAACAATAATAGTCTTACGTCTGGCAGGGAAGATACAAACAATTTCCATTCGAAATGCGCCAACTGTACTACTTAGGAAGTTTAATAGCTCAATTTTGACCTCTGGTTTCCACTGGAGAACCCAGGGTCGTAACACTGGCTTAATAGAATTCTACGACCAGGTGACAAAGATTAAGCAGGAAAGAGAAGGCTGGGCGGACTGCATTTTCTTGGATTGTTGGAAAGCCTTTGACACAGTACCGCATAAGAGGCTGGTACATAAGCTGGAGAGACAGGCAGGTGTAGCTAGTAAGGTGCTCCAGTGGATAAGGGAGTACCTAAGCAATAGGAAGCAGAGAGTTACGGTGAGGGGTGAGACTTCCGATTGGCGTGAAGTCACCAGTGGAGTCCCACAGGGCTCTGTACTCGGTCCTATCTTGTTTCTGATATATGTAAATGATCTCCCGAAGGGTATAGATTCATTTCTCGCAATGTTTGCTGAAAAGGTATGAGCTATGAGGAGAGACTACGGGAATTTAAACCTCACTTCGCTGGAAGACAGAAGAGTTAGGGGGGACATGATCACCACATTCAAGATTCTCAAGGGAATTGATAGGATAGATAAAGACAGGCTATTTAACACAAGGGGCACACGCACTAGGGGACACAGGTGGAAACTGAGTGCCCAAATGAGCCACAGAGATATTAGAAAGAACTTTTTTAGTGTCAGAGTGGTTGACAAATGGAATGCATTAGGAAGTGATGTGGTGGAGGCTGACTCCATACACAGTTTCAAGTGTAGATATGATAGAGCCCAATAGGCTCAGGAATCTGTACACCTGTTAATTGACGGTTGAGAGGCGGGACCAAAGAGCCAGAGCTCAACCCCCGCAAGCACAATTAGGTGAGTACAATTAGGTGATCACACACACACACACGGAGTATGCGGCCCCAGCATGGAGCCCGTACCTTGTCAAGTACAAGACCAAGTTGGAAAAAGTTCAGAGGTATGCCACTAGGCTAGTCCCAGAACCAAGAGGCATGAATTACGAGGAAAGGCTGCGGGAAATGCACCTCACGACACTGGAATTGTCGTGTATTACACGTGCTCCCAAACACATGTAGCCATTTCAGCTACTAGCAAATGAATTCGTAATAGATACTGCCGCTAGCCACTGCTAGAAGTGGCTGTAGCGTCTCCTAGCAGGTGTGGCCTCACCAGTTCCTGGTGTGTATGTAAGCTTGCAGCAGGTATGTCCCCAATAGCCCGCGTGTGGCTCTCTGGCTACGCCCAGACGGATGTCTAACTTTCACTAGGTGGAGAAAACCCCAGCTGGCATACCGGAGAAAGGTACCTTGGAGAGAGAGAGAGAGAGAGAGAGAGAGAGAGAGAGAGAGAGAGAGAGAGAGAGAGAGAGAATAATAATTCAATGACATACTTAACCTCATCTCCAATGCCTACGGTTACGTCAGCGACTTCTCTAACCTTTACAAAAGATGGCAGATTACATTGCATATGAAAACGCAGATGATTACTTAATATCACACACACACACACACCTGCTGGGGCTATTGTGTGGATATCAGGTAATGGCTTGGTGTTCAACGATGATCTATTCATCATAGGGATGAGGTCTGATTACTTTATGAAGACTGAGAACCATGTGATGAACCCCCACAACATCCAGGACCATCTCATACTTCCGCGACAGCAGCAGCTGCACAATTTTATGAGTTACTCGGCCCGCCGCCCTTCCTCCGACTTAAGATGTTAGACGCCCTTGCATGGCGATTCTGAACACGTAATCTCGGTTAAGTCTTTAACACTGAAGATGTGTCGGTTGTCTTACCGTATGAACAAGTTTAGCAGTCTTAATGTTCTCCAGTTATCGTAACATGGGAGACAATCAAAATACTAATATAACACAACATGGTCACCCACCACCAGCTTAAGTCAATGAAAAATCATTAACTCCTAAAAAAAAATACAGGAATCCGCACGAAATATGCCTGAAATGAATATATATTAAGTGACTGCTAAGACAATATCTGGGTGTAAAGTTATCAAAGAAAACAGTCTTATTGAATGGCTAACCCTTCTATTTTGGACGGTCTCTTGTCTTCCATCTTCGGGGGACACAAAACCTGTCAGGGGTATGGAGGCCCGCCCTAGGAGAACCCCTGACCTTCCCCCAGCATGTAAACCCCCCAACAGTTGCCCAACTCCCGCTTAGCTAATTACTGCTAGGTGAACAGGAGCATCAAGTGAAATGAAACGTGGCCCAACGACTCAGTCCCACCCTAGGATTGAACACACCGTATTTGGTTTTTAGTCTAAGACGTAGACCACTGCACTACCTGATATTGAACTAACATATTCTTATGTAATAAAACTCACTCACTCTCTCTCTCTCTCTCTGTCTCTCTCTCTGTCTCTCTCTCTGTCTCTCTCTCTGTCTCTCTCTCTCTCTCTCTCTCTCTCTCTCTCTCTCTCTCTCTCTCTCTCTCTCTCTCTCTCTCTCTCTCTCTCTCTCTGTCTCTCTCTCTCTCTCTCTCTCTCTCTCTCTCTCTCTCTCTCTCTCTCTCTCTCTCTCTCTCTCTCTCTCTCTCTCTCTCTCTCTCTCTCTCTCTCTCTCTCTCTTTCTCTCATAGTGCTGCTGAATAAACAAGGCGTAATAATACTGCATTACTTTGCATTTACTTGCGCTAATCTTTTGTAGCCATTATTTGGCCCATACTTTCAGTTTGTCCAGGTCGTCTTGTAGCCTCGTGGTGTCTTCCATTGTCTAAATCCTCCTCGTCGTAATTTTCGCATCATCAGCAAACATTGAAAGGAACGAATCGAATATCTCTGGAAGATCGTTTACATATATATGGGAAACAGAATAAATTCGAGAACTGAACCCTGTGAAACTCCGCTGGTGACATCTCGCCACTCTGAGACCTTATCTCTCACAGTGACTCTCTGACTTATGTTGCTTAGGTACTCCCTTACCCACTAGAGTACCTTCCCTGTCACTCCTGCCTGCTTCTCCAACTTGTGCATCAGTCTCCCATAAGATGTATGTGTGTGTAAGTTTTTCAGTGTATTTACTGTTTATATATTTTTTTTTTTTTGAGATATATACAAGAGTTGTTACATTCTTGTAGAGCCACTAGTACGCGTAGCGTTTCGGGCAAGTCCTTAATCCTATGGTCCCTGGAATACGATCCCCTGCCGCGAAGAATCGTTTTTTCATCCAAGTACACATTTTACTGTTGAGTTAAACAGAGGCTACAGTTAAGGAATTGCGCCCAGTAAATCCTCCCCGGCCAGGATACGAACCCATGACATAGCGCTCGCGGAACGCCAGGCGAGTGTCTTACCACTACACCACGGAGACTGCTATTTATTATTTATTATTTGTGTCTATTTGTGTATGCTATTTATTATTTATTATTTGTGTCTTCAAGATCTAGCTGTTATTTCTTGGACCCGCCTTTGTAACCTTCAGTTGTCTCTCTCTCGACTTAATTTTCTCTTTCATGTCTATTATGTATATTACAGGAAGCCACAATGTAGGACTGAAAACAAATGCTTTTTCACTCACAGGGTGAAACTTAAGGAAACGCCTACCCGACTAAGCCATAAATGCCAAAACTCTGCTGAACTTTAAAATCTAGCTTTAAAAAATTATTAGGGCAAATGGGGGACTTTTGACAAGCCGCCAGCTCCCTGTCATTGTCGAGGCCACTAGTAGAGTATTAGTGGCCCTCAGGTAAATTCAGGTAAATTACACACACACACACACACACTCCACATTTCTCTCCCAGTTTTCATGACCTGAGAGCGAGAGAGAGAGAGAGAGAGAGAGAGAGAGAGAGAGAGAGAGAGAGAGAGAGAGAGAGAGAGAGAGAGAGAGAGAGAGAGAGAGAGAGAGAGAGAGAGAGAGAGAGAGAGACAGAGAGAGAGACAGAGAGAGAGAGAGAGACAGAGAGAGAGAGAGAGAGAGACAGAGAGAGAGACAGAGACAGAGAGAGAGAGAGACAGAGAGAGAGAGAGAGAGAGAGAGAGAGAGACAGAGAGAGAGAGACAGAGACAGAGAGAGCGCCGTTAGGCTAGGCTATTCACCTTCCGCATGTATAAACCAATTCTTTTGAATTATTTCTAACTTATCGAGGTGAGGGAAGTGGTGTTGAATCCCTTTGACATTAACCTCTGTTTCCTCCCACGACCGCAGGAACACACCAGACTCAGTCACAACTCCGGCCTCTCTACCCCCAAATACACTGCCCAGTATTCAGTAATTAATTAACTAAAACATCGTTACTAAACGCGAGAACGGAAACTCTTCTTGTTTACATGAATAGTCACTGTTACGGTGACTCAAACTGGTGATGGGACTATTTAGTCACTGTTACGGTGACTCAAGCTGGTGATGGGACTATTTAGTCACTATTACGGTGACTCAAGCTGGTGATGGGACTATTTAGTCACTGTTACGGCGACTCAAGCTGGTGATGGGACTATTTAGTCACTATTACGGCGACTCAAGCTGGTGATGGGACTATTTAGTCACTGTTACGGTGACTCAAACTGGTGATGGGACTATTTAGTCACTGTTACGGTGACTCAAGCTGGTGATGGGACTATTTAGTCACTGTTACGGTGACTCAAGCTGGTGATGGGACTATTTAGTCACTATTACGGTGACTCAAGCTGGTGATGGGACTATTTAGTCACTGTTACGGTGACTCAAACTGGTGATGGGACTATTTAGTCACTGTTACGGTGACTCAAGCTGGTGATGGGACTATTTAGTCACTGTTACGGTGACTCAAACTGGTGATGGGACTATTTAGTCACTATTACGGTGACTCAAACTGGTGATGGGACTATTTACTAGTGTTGTATAGGACCATTGGTGAATGAAGGACCACTGGTGAATGAAGGACCACTGGTGAATGAAGGACCACTGGTGAATGACGGACCACTGGTGAATGAAGGACCACTGGTGAATGAAGGACCACTGGTGAATGAAGGACCACTGGTGAATGAAGGACCACTGGTGAATGAAGGACCACTGGTGAATGAAGGACCACTGGTGAATGAAGGACCACTGGTGAATGACGGACCACTGGTGAATGAAGGACCACTGGTGAATGAAGGACCACTGGTGAATGAAGGACCACTGGTGAATGAAGGACCACTGGTGAATGAAGGACCACTGGTGAATGACGGACCACTGGTGAATGAAGGACCACTGGTGAATGACGGACCACTGGTGAATGAAGGACCACTGGTGAATGAAGGACCACTGGTGAATGACGGACCACTGGTGAATGAAGGACCACTGGTGAATGAAGGACCACTGGTGAATGAAGGACCACTGGTGAATGAAGGACCACTATGAAAGTTAAGAGAGAAAAAAATGAAGGTGATAAGATAAGGCGTAGGGAACAAGCAGCAAGAGTTATGGAGCTCTGTCAGATGTAACAGTGGGGGGGGAGAGGGGGGAGAGGGGGTTACATAACATGGAGAGTAATATGCGTTGGAAGGGGGGGGGGGTTGTTACGGTGGTGGGGGGGAGTGCTGGTGGACTGGTACGGTGTGTGGGGAAACCCCGGGGGATTGTCCCTCTTCTCAACCCCCCCACAACCCCAAATCCCCCCCAACTCCCCCATTTCTCCCTTCCTCCCCCCAACACCTTCCCCCCTCCCGTCTCCCCCCTTCTCTCCCACCACCCCTTTCCCTGTGCCCAAAACTGTCCTTCACTTCCCCCCTCCCTCACTCTCACCTCTTCCCCCTCCCTCACTCTCACCCCTCTCCCCCTCCCTCACTCACCCCCCCCCACTCCTCCCTTACGTAAGCCCCCTCACACATCTCTAAATTCTCCTCACGCCTCACCTCGACTCCTCAGCTTGACGTTTTCAATTACCAATGATCATTACAATGTGTTTCTTGGCCCCTCCCCCGCGCCCCGCCCCCTCACAGTGCACTAGCACCTCCCCGCCGCACCCCTCACAAGCGTGCTGGACCTATCCAACCCGACCCCAACCCAACCTGTCCTCGTGTTGGTTCGCTGGGGCCAGGATAGAGAGCGCCGCCCCATCCTGCCTGGAACCGTCCGTCCGTCCGTCCGTCCTGGGACGGGTTGACCCCAGCCAGCGTCGCCTAGCATGGTCATACGACCATGTGTACGAGCCTCGTACGACCCCACACAGCCACGCACGATCACCCCCCCCCCCTCATACATGCACGGCCAACTACGCATGAATCCGCATAACCCGGCCCCGTCTCACACGACTTTACCCTCTTCCAGCACCACCAGACTGGAGCGACATAGACACACACTCTTGAGTCTCTAGTTTGCCTAATGAGTTCCTCACCCACCTCCTTTGAGAACTTCTGTCCACAGTTACCCCAGGCGCCCCAGGCGATCTATTTTTCTTTGGGTCTCTCTTTTTCCCCTTGAAATTTAGTTTTTCGCGTTTTACTAAGGTACAGTTTGTGTATTTACTATTTATATTAATTATTTGTATCTGCAGAATCAAGCTATTAGCTCTTGGATCCCGCCTTTCTAATCGATTTAATTTTCTTCTGTTATATCTGCTACATATTTCTCTCTACCACACGGGAGACATCTCCCGTCACGCAGGGTGCAGTTGCACCTCCACAGATCTCCAGTATCAGCTCTTGATACTGGTAATGGCTCAAAAGGGGCCACCACTTACGGGCTATTCATGCCCGTGCTACCTTTTGGGTGGCTTAATCTTCATCAATCAATCAATCTCTCTAACACACACAACACCAGTACACTGTACACCACCAGTGGAATCTGTACACCAGTTGATTGACAGTTGAGAGGCGGGACCAAAGAGCCAAAGCTCAACCCCCCGCGCAAGTCCAACTAGGTGAGTACACATACACACAGGAAGCAGTCTGAAGCAGTTGTCTAACTCCCAGGTACCTATTTACTGCTAGGTGAACAGGAGCATCAGAGTGGAAGAAACTTTACCCAATTTGTTTCCGCCTCCGCCGGGGATCGAACCCGGGCCATTAGGACTACGACCCCATAGCGCTGTCCACTCAACCATGAGTCCAGGGTGTGTGTGTGTGTGTGTGTGTGTGTGGAGGGGATGGGGGTGGGGGCGGGGGGTGCGTTGAGGGTTGGGGACCATGATTAAGGTGGGGGTGAGGAAAAGTTCGAACACCCCCCACCTCCCGGTCGCGTTCTTACGAGGCTCACCAGTGGAATACCCCTCGCCCGCAGTGCTTTTGGCGGGAGATGCAGCCCCTCTCCCTCCACCACAACCCCCCTCCCTCCAAAACAATCTCCCCCTCCCACCGCAACAATCCCCCCTCCCTTCAAAGCAATACTCCTTTCCTCCCCCTCCTTCAGCCCCCTTCCCTCCTCCAGACACCTCAACCCCCCATCCCATCCTTTCCTCTTTCTTTACATCCCGTCACATCCCTTCCGTGACTCCCCCCCCACCCCTGTACTGGAGTATACGCATAATACATAAACACTTATATATAAAACCTCTAGGATAATTTCCAACTGAACGAAACCTAGTCGTTAACATCACGACAGTTTAAAATGCTGCATATAATAATAATGATATATTAGTCATCAGGCTTCATACTCGATTCAAAGGGTATAACAAATTAAATATGACGTGAATAGCCTAAGTATACTAATAACATATGAAATGGGTTGACTCTTGCTAGTTACCTAGAATTCGTTTATCTGGATATGCGGAGAAATTCTTCGTAATACACAAGTCGTACTTGGGCCAGACTCTTCCTAGAAATGAACACTTTACGTCAGAGGCGCTCACATTCTAGTCAATGATTTGGAACAGGTTTTTATGCCCCTAAATGCTGGTGGTGATGGGATGGTTAATGGGTGTACCAGGCACTGGATTACCTTCACCACATTATGCGTTTCACCAAAAGCTCCCTTTCTAAGTCATGACGTGACATATCACTACTCCAAAATCTTCCTTTCTACGTTATGAAGTAACGCGTGACTGATTTTGCTGAAGGCGATTCAGGAACCCTTAAACTTCCCACAAATTTTCAAGACTTTCTCTACAACATTATAAAAACAATTCAAACTTTTTACTTTTTTTTATTTTCTTCAATAGACTCTCATCTACATCATCCGTATATTAATAACGACTAAAGAACAGTTTTCACTATAAACAGCTGTTCAAAACTTGGCACCAGCATGGCGGCATCTTAGCCAACATATCCGAACTCCGGATAACCTAACCCTTGGGTCACTATCTCAGCCAAATACGGTCGTCTGCCGAACCATCCGGCAAGCCGTAACTTGCCCCAACTGCTGTCATCCGCGCTAGCACAAAGAAACCAATAAATCCCGGGACGTGATGTAATCTGGACATACGGGGCACCTTGTCTGGCATCAGTATCAAGTGGGAATGTTGGAGATTAGAGGTTACGCTTGTTGGAATGTGTTTATGAAGTCATCCGTTAGTAGCCTAGGGAGGGATAGGTGAGCGAGGCTGGCGGGAAGAGTTTGCCGTTTTGGTATGGACCGTATTGCACTCAGCGGAGTGTGTGTGTGTGTGTGTGTGTGTGTGTGTGTGTGTGTGTGTGTGTGTGTGTGTGTACTCACCTAGTTGTACTCACCTAGTTGTGTTTGCGGGGGTTGAGCTCTGGCTCTTTGGTCCCGCCTCTCAACCGTCAATCAACAGGTGTACAGATTCCTGAGCCTATCGGGCTCTGTCATATCTACACTTGAAACTGTGTATGGAGTCAGCCTCCACCACATCACTTCCTAATGCATTCCATTTGTCAACCACTCTGACACTAAAAAAGTTCTTTCTAATATCTCTGTGGCTCATTTGGGCACTCAGTTTCCACCTGTGTCCCCTTGTGCGTGTTCCCCTTGTGTTAAATAGACTGTCTTTATCTACCCTATCAATCCCCTTCAGAATCTTGAATGTGGTGATCATGTCCCCCCTAACTCTTCTGTCTTCCAGCGAAGTGAGGTTTAATTCCCGTAGTCTCTCCTCGTAGCTCATACCTCTCAGCTCGGGTACTAGTCTGGTGGCAAACCTTTGAACCTTTTCCAGTTTAGTCTTATCCTTGACTAGATATGGACTCCATGCTGGGGCCGCATACTCCAGGATTGGCCTGACATATGTGGTATACAAAGTTCTGAATGATTCTTTACACAAGTTTCTGAATGCCGTTCGTGTGTGTGTGTGTGTGTGTGTGTGTGTGTGTGTGTGTGTGTGTGTGTGTGTGTGTGTGTGAGAGATAGAGAGTGAGAATGAGAAAGTGAGTGTGAAAGTGAATTATTAAATACAGTATTCCTAGAAGAGATACGTTACAATTTAGTCTTGCTGAATTGTCGTTTTTTCAAACGTTCATCACCCATGTTATCCGTTCATTGTCTCTAGAACGCTTCATGACATTCACTTGAAACTAACATACTTTAGTAAAAAAAATTAATTTTTTAAAATGTCTCCATGTAGCCTCATAATTGTGTTTTTTCCGATTGGTTAGATGTTAGGCTTCAGACCCATCAACCTCTGGAGAGATCATTAATACCACCACAATAGCTTACACCAGCAAGTATACTTTTGTCCCAGACATTGTCCAGGACGCAATAAACTGGTGGATATTATTGAATACCGTTAATAAATTATAATTGTATTCCTATCTTTGAGCTGAAGCCTGTCGAAAGGCTACTTGCAAAGAGTAATCTTCCACACTTTCCAGCCGGAAACCCAACATATAACGTAATCAAATCACACCATAGAACGAAAAAGCTATACAGAAGATTTGAGAGTAATCTTGAGATGCATTCACTACTTTCCTAGCGATCTGCGTCTTAATTCTTTCCCGGGGAAGTCCTGGAAGCTTATCGTAGGTAGTAGGAAATGTTTATATATTAAACATTATATACTAGCTGGGGTTACCTGGCGGTGCCTGGGTTAGTTTGTCTCTCCCTCATCACCCATTCCACCCCCTGTTCTTTTCCCCCCTCTCTCCTTCTCTTCTCCTCTCATCTCCTCCATTTACCCCCCTTCTCACCCGTCTCCCTACCCTCCCACTCCCCCCCCCCCAACCTAGAGCAGACATTTATAGGACAAAATAGGTTTAGAGTCAACCGACGGTCAGAAAAGGCGGGGTCCAAGAGCTAAGAGCGCGATCCTGCAGGCAGAAATAGTACAAGACCCACTCGCCAAGCACAACTCTAGAAACACATAACATAACTGTCCCAATTTTTTGCTTATTACAACTTGTAATAAAGTTGTTACGTCTTGTTATAACGTTTACATGACGTATTAGAACGTTGTTACAACTTGTTAGGTGTTAACACTTGTTCGAACGTCGTAATTTCGTCGTATGTTTGATGGGAACCTATCAGCAGGA